CGTCCAGTCAGCCATTGAGGAGCGTCTTGATGTCCACCAAAGCGGACACATAATTGAATTAAAACAAGTGATCCCATGGAAGGAACACCTCTTTATTCTGGAAAAGAGTGATTCCATTAAACCCGACATTAAGTTCGTTATATTTAAGGACACGAAAGGCAAGTGGAGGGTACAGGCGGTCCCTCTCTCATCACATTCTTACGAACTGAGAGTCCCTCTGAAGGCCGACTGGAGGGGCCTTCGAGACCAAGAGTTGAGCCAAATTGCAGGCATAGATGGATGTGTTTTCGTACACTCCAGTGGCTTCATCGGCGGTAATGATAGTCGAGACGGAGTCATCCAAATGGCAGTTAAGACACTCGACTCTGTTAACCAAAATGATTCTCAAAGTAATTAACTTATTAGCCATTCCTTCCATTCAAATGCATTTCCTATAAATCATCTCTTAATCAAACCATTTCTTAAATATTTTTCTACCCAAATGTGGGTTTAAAATAATTTCCGAATTAATTTTAAACTTAACTAATGGTAAATGTTCTCAAAATGCCATTAATTTTGATATGATTTCAAAAATTTTATTTATTTATTCATTTAATTACAAAAAACAAATTCAGCTAAAAGTCGAGAAAACTTTTACTTTTCTCGCATTACATATCAATCAATGAATTGAAAGCAAAAATAAGTTGCTTTCAAAAAGCGTTGTTTTAAATTGACATCAAATTTGTAAGTTTTTTAAATATAAGAAATGTATTCTTCAGAAACCATTGTTTTTTGTAATCAATTATAAAATTCAAAAGACTTTCATTACTATCGAATAAATATATTTTGTTCGCGTCATTGAAAATAATGACAAAAACAGTTTTTTAATTAAAACCTTTCAAAAGACATTGCATTTTATATAATAAATTAAAAATATTGACAGAAATTTGTGTTGAATTTTATTTATCGGTTAAAGTTTGTTGTCATTCATCGGATCACTTATTACTTTCAATACAATTAATAATAATTATAAATTTAGTTATAACTCAGGGATGAGATTAAGAAATGGGTGTTCAGTTCTTGCCCTTTCGGAAGGCCTCCTCAATGGTCTCTTGGGAGGCCTCCTCGAAGTCGCAGGCCTGCACGTACTTATACACGCCCACCAACGCCTTCTTCAGGGCGTCATAGGATGACGAGTACAGCATCTTCTGCTTGATCTTCGAGCTCTCGGGACACCAAGTCATCAGCACCAGTCGGTCGACACTCATCGACGACTTCTCCTGTCCGGCGTCGACGGGAATGTTAGCCGGGAAGTCAAACACACAGTATCTGCACTCGTTCTTGTAGTTCTGCAGCTTCTCCAAGAACTCGGAGTATGTGGCATCACGTGCTCCGGTCGACTCCACGTCGATCACCTGTCCATCAGACACATCAATGAGACAATGGACACAACGATGCCATCAGACACTCCGATGCCATCACACACTCCGCTCGCTTACCCTCTCGTCTTTGATGTGATATATGATATACCGGTGTTTCTTGTCTTTCTTCACCTCCTCGTACACCGTCTTTGCGAACAACGATGCCATCAGACACTCCGATGCCATCACACACTCCGCTCGCTTACCCTCTCGTCTTTGATGTGATATATGATATACCGGTGTTTCTTGTCTTTCTTCACCTCCTCGTACACCGTCTTTGCGTCGGACGATACGGTCACTCCTGAAGACTGTCATCAGACAAAACAAAGACAATGAGAGCATTGCTCACAACCAGTGAGAAGACAGTGTTGGTCTCAATGCGAGACATTCTTAAGAGTAAAGCATTTGTGCCATAAATAGCACGACAGCAGAAGTCTATGTCTTTTAAAGGTTATCACTGACTGTGAGTGCGTTTGGCATCACTTTTGCACAAACACTCACACTCTTTGCCATACTATCAACACTTATTGACATCTCTGGCAATGAGTACTGAATAACAATTCAATTCATTTGATGGCAATAATCAGTAAATGAGTGACAAATGAATGAATGCATTGATAGACAAAAAGGGCGTTAACTTCGAGACTAAACTTTTGGACATTCATTTGGGCACTCATTGGACCTCATAGATCACCATTGGATGTGTTAACTCATAGCTCAAGAGGTATAGTTACCATTTCGATGAGCAGTCGAGTGAATCAAATCTCAAATGAAAAGCAAATCAAACGATTGGATCAGTTGTGGGACTGTTAGCGATGTTTTAGTCAATCAATTCAGTTGTGACTCAAACGCGATGTCAAGAGCTTTATATTCAATGCTTTCTATGCTTACTATGCGTTCACTCAATGCATACGAGACTCACTGAGTTGTGGGACTGTTAGCGATGTTTTAGTCAATCAATTCAGTTGTGACTCAAACGCGATGTCAAGAGCTTTATATTCAATGCTTTCTATGCTTACTATGCGTTCACTCAATGCATACGAGACTCACTGGCAATGCTATGCAATACACCACACAATACACACCAATAGACAGCATTCAGTGCACAGATAAATGGCGGCGTGTATTGTGTGCTACACGAGCCGCTACTGCGCACACACCACACCGGCATCCCTGCCCCCACTCCCCCCTTACGTAACACTGTGGGCGCCAATCAGTGCTGAGCATTGCTGAGGTGTCCTCCCATTGATGCCAATTATACCAAATATAAGCATAAAATGTTATGATATATCGCTGTATACCTAACTATACGCAACATATTAGTCCCTTTTATCATATGTTTTGTCATAATGTTTGCGTTCACATAAAGTCCCTAACGAGAGCCGCACATATGAGTCGAGGGGAAGGCCTACCGTTGAACACCCGGCGCCCACATATTCAGTGAGACAGTGCTCTGTTTGTGTGACTCATTCACACACTTGTTGTCCAAAGCATTGTTTGCATGCATTTGTCATCACTTGATCCCAACCTGTGAAGAGGAAAGGGATGCTATTGAGGACGACTGTCATGTAGTGCTATATCTATGCCATACAATGCATAGACTGCGGTAATACAGCACTCATTGCATGCATTTGACACATACGATAGAAAATGTTTGCAAAATAGTTGACAAAATGAGCTAAAAATATGAGAAAAATAGTTGAAATACAGTATAATATTCTGTATTATATAGTGAATGGCGGCCAGTGTTGGATGTGATGGTAATTCTGGCACTTATTCTGTAAACAAGAATTTGTTTGCATTTCTTATCAAACGTTTGCATCACTTGTGTCTCTCTGTTGGCATCATTGCCGTCGGATTGGTATATGAGATGAGGTCACACATACAGCCTAGACTACCAGTGCTGCTATGCTGTCCACCCGACCCACATGTCTGTCCCCTTTTGCCAACTCCTCATCCCTTGAATACCACTAAAAATCACTAAAAATGTTTGAATTGATTTGAGGCATAACTTTGTGTACAACTATTTGATGAAAACTTATTTGTATTATATTTAGCGATAATTACGACCAAAGTTTGATTAGACGAGTCATTGAAAGCATAGAAATGATTGAAATCTCAATCAAAATGTTAGGAAATTGTGACAAATTTATAACAAAAAAGCGATAAATAAGTTGAAAAAGAGAGACAAAACATGTTTGAAAGGATTCCTTATTGAAAGGGACCGGAGATTCGTTAACATGGTATACGCTGTGTGTACGGGATATAAGCGCTGAGGCTTTGGTGCGTTTGTATGTAAGGTGTGNGTCGGGTTTAATGGAATCACTCTTTTCCAGAATAAAGAGGTGTTCCTTCCATGGGATCACTTGTTTTAATTCAATTATGTGTCCGCTTTGGTGGACATCAAGACGCTCCTCAATGGCTGACTGGACGTGTTGTCTGGCCGGCCACCACACCTCTCCGTAATAGTGGACTTTGTCTCTGAACTCCTGTCCCACTAATTCGATGCCTTCCATGAATTTCTTGTATAGGATCTCATCAGAAGACACTTCATTCCATTGAGGGATCAGATTAGCCACTCTTGAGCTCAGGTTCGTTGAAATTCTATACTTAGGCTCCCCTTCGCATACACTGACGCCTAGTATTCATTCAAATATAGTGAGTAATAGATTGCAAGAAATGAAAGTAATATTTCAAACCATTATCGATGGCATCGATCTCTTGCACAAAGTTTTCGTACACTTTATCGAAGATGAGGTCTGTTTTGTCATCACTTTTATCCCAATTGAGAAACTTTGCGATTATTTGATGACCGAAATGAGTGAACACAAGACCAGCGGAACTGAGTTTTATGTGAAACGCTTTGTCCGGCAAAAGTGAGCTCAGAGTGTGTTTGAAGTCTCTTTGGTGGTGATCGTAGCGGTGCCGCTGCGGGTCGTACACCCCTCCCACGTCCACCACCACATCCATGTCTTTGAGCACAGACTCATCCCTAGTCCTAACGATGGACGCGTTCGAGTATTGGGACAGTTGTCTCAACAGAAAACAGGCCAGTATTTCATCGCAATGAAACATGCCGTCGTGAGTGCCCACTCGCGGCCTCCCGTTCCCCACTTCGTCCGATTCGGCACAGAATCGCTTGGCATTCGTCGACAAATCCATTACAGACTCTATTTGTGATGATTGAAACGATTTCAGTAGTGATTCAATATTTTTATGCCAAATATTTGCTTTCATTTGCTTTAATACTGCAAACATTCATACATTCAGTTTTTGTGACAAATTCTGCAAAATTCAAGAATATTTTCATGTCTTTCTAATCACTTTTGTAAATAAGTTTTGTTTTAATTTTTCAATGATATATAAAATTTATAATTGAATTACAAAATCATTATTAAATAGATGCGAGAAATTATGCCAAAAAAACTATTTTTAATTTCAGTTTAAATGTTTTCATTGAAAATAATTTTTTATTTAATGAGCACTCGTTTTGAGTGCACTTTTTATTAACCAAATTCTCTCTCTATTCAAACCAAAGTTATAAATAGTCTTTACTTTCAAAACTAACACTCATTTTGCTATAAACCAATTTGCAGTCTAACATTGTATCATACATACGCTAATTAACATAGTCTACTATTTCTTAACGCATTCATATTACTGTTACTGTTAAACCGAAACTTATCTCGGTTAAAGTATCATGGTTCAACTAGAAACATACGGTATACTAACTAATTTATAGATGTACTTATTTGTCAAATAGACATGTCATAATTCAATTGATTACAATTGTAAGCATGGTTAGTGTTGGACATTGATCCGGATCAATTAGGCAATCACTGCTATATTTGATAGATATGAGTGGTATGTGAAAACATAATGAAAAGTATTTCATTGTATAAGAGAAAAGATTTGATAAAATGTATGCATTTCTTGTAATAAATTGTTGAAATATTAAAGATAATTGTCAACACGTTTTGGTCTTAAATGTTTGTATCAAATATTTCATTATTAAAAAGGTCTACAATTTAGCTCATATTTACCGGTATATGGGATAACACGATACGATCAACGAGTTGTTGAATGGCTTTTATAAATCCAGTCAATTGTATGAATGAATTGAGAGTGGATTCACTGATTTAGACGACAATTGCCAGCAAATAGTGATTCAAATGATTGCAATTTGCAGACAATTATGAGTAATAATTACGTAATGTTTCACTCGTTGTGTTCACTGTATTTGACAGCAAATGAGTGTTTGCGAGCAATATGTGAGCAAATGTCACAACAAATCACACTCTCATCGCAACACAAATGCCTTGATTTGAGGGGTGATAGCGATTGAGACAACTGTTGAATGAATGGTCAGTATTGATGGCAAACAATTGATGACCGGTTTAGTTCACAACACCTCCACTGCATGTCTGCACCTCTCACTCGCAGTCATTGAAACACATATAACGTGACATGTTTTGTATGAATGGTTTGCTTTGTGTTGCATTCATTGGCCGTTCAAAAGCATTAGTGCACAGATGTGGGGGACGTTTGTATAGACAAATACAACGGTAACGTAATGTGTGAATGAGATATGAGTTGATTTGTGCAGAGATTGACCATTGATTGTAAGCTCGAGTGCAGTGAAAGCTGTGTCGACGTCAGAGTAATCGGCTGCAGCTATGTCTATGTGTGAGTGGCAGTGATTGGCGTCACTAATGGTTCGTCAATATATGGGTTGTTGTGTATGTGTTTGAGTGGTGTTTGCGATGAAAGCAAAATGTCTGTCAAATAATACCAATTTTGTTGCAAAACATTGAGAACATTGACTACCCATTGGAATAGCATTGAGTGAAGCTCACGCTATGAAGCATTGATTGCAATATTTGCAAATCAACTCATTATAGACAGGCTGTGAGTGTTGTTGAGATTGATTGTGCGATCACTGAGTGCCCGAACCCACGACCCATCGCGAGCTCACACACGAGTCGTCCGACCCTTTCGTATGACTTATCGGTAATCATTTGATTGACGCTAACATCCATACATTCAGTCATTTGTTTTGCATATCTATTGCCAAATATGTGAACATTGAGTGACTGTCCACTCGTCGCCCCTAATGACCGCATAATTGGTGTCATTTGCCCTCATGTCACGTGTGTTCACCTCTCTGTCCATTGCATCCCTTAAGACACGAGTCCAGTTGATCCCATGTTAGCCGCAGTGTTTATGTCACTACTCCAAGTGATTGTCTGCTAATTACGGCCTAAACTCAGTGCCAATTATTTGTTAAGTTTTATTATTTGTAATCAATTGTTATCTCATTTGTTAATTCATTGATAATCAAAATACCCATTAATTGAATGCAATTTTTTTTATTGCAAATGACTTATTATTTTAATGTTTTATTGTAAGCGAAATGTTAAACAAATGGAAATTTAGTGCATTTTCTTAGACTTAATATAATGTAAACAAACATTTTTTGTCTATTATTTTGAGGATTAAGTAAACATTTGTCTCGTTTGCCTATCAATTCATATGATTTATTCAATACTTAGGCTTTCTATGCATTCATATTAATATTGTAATATTTTAAACAATTTGAATGTCATTCATGTGTGTATTAATTGTGTTATAAATGCTATTTTCAGATATATTTGGTCCAAACGATTGAATGGGTGGCAAGAAGTGATTGAAATGTGATTTTTGTTGTATCGTTGACTGCAATGAGAGCCAAATATTTGACTAATAATTGTGTTTTTATTGAATACGAGTTGTAATTAACTGTGAAATCGATTTTGTTTTGGCGTTTAGTTGTCTTTCAGTGTGTTTTGTGTTTCAGTTTCTTATATTTCCTCAAAAGTGGTGCAAAATCATGAAAATTGAGCCTAAAATTGATGATTAATTATTTGTTTATATTTATGTTGAGATGCGCTCCACATTAGGACCAACTGTTCACTAGATTTTAATTCATTTATTAGCAAATGATTTAAAAAAATATTTTTTAATATAATTTTTATGTCTAGTTTTCGCTGTCTTTTGTAATTAATTTAATTTGTGCTTAAATTTCGAAGAAATCAGTGAAACAGTGTTTTTGTGTAAATAATAATCAAATACAAGCCGAAAATGACTTCACATTCACTGCAAGCGCCGACAGCTTTTGTCGACAAAATAGATCCGTTCAAAAAGGGGTCGCTTAAGAGAAAGCAAAAGAAATCTCAGGGATCGTCCAGATATCGGCTCACCTCTGAGGTCGAGTTACAGCCATTACCGCTCCTCAAAGGTATGTCTATTGATTGTAGTGATCGGTGATGTGGTAACCATGATATGTCTGTGTGTGTGTCCATAAGACGTGGCCAGTGGGGAACAGGAGGGCCTGTTTATACGCAAACTGCGGCAGTGTTGCATTGCTTTCGATTTCATGGATCCGGTCTCTGATCTGAAGGGGAAAGAGATCAAAAGAGCGACACTCAATGAATTAGTCGATTATATCAGTGCCGGACGGGGAGTGCTCTCTGAACCCACTTATCCAGAGATTATTAGAATGGTATGCATTTCACCACTGTTTCACATTTTATACAAATGTTACGCTTTTTGTGATATAAATGTTGCTTTAAATGCTAATGACTGGCAATCGTTGTCTGTATGTGTTATGTTATGTGACAGATATCCTGCAATTTATTCCGAACATTACCTCCGAGTGAAAACCCCGACTTCGACCCCGAAGAAGATGACCCGACACTGGAGGCCTCGTGGCCTCACTTGCAATTAGTCTACGAGTTTGTGCTCCGTTTCCTCGAATCGCCCGACTTTCAGCCCACTATTGGCAAGAAAGTGATCGATCAGAAGTTTGTTCTTCAGGTGACCACCACTTCCAGCCATTTGTCTTGTATTTTCTGAGCAAATGTTTGACATTTTATTCTTGTTTTGTTGCGACAGTTATTGGAATTGTTTGACAGCGAAGACCCTCGAGAGCGTGATTTCCTGAAGACTGTTTTGCACAGAATTTACGGCAAATTTTTAGGTCTCCGAGCGTTCATTAGAAAGCAAATCAATAATATATTCTTGAGGTTTATATACGAAACGGAACACTTCAATGGTGTGGGAGAACTGCTCGAGATATTAGGGAGGTTTGTATCCATCCATTGAGTTACGACACGACTTGTGTTTTTCATTTCTAACATTTATGACTCCTTTTGATGTGAGATTACATGAAAACTAATCATTTGTATCTTCTTTTATAGTATAATAAATGGTTTCGCATTGCCTTTAAAGACAGAACACAAACAGTTTTTGGTCAAAGTTCTCATTCCTTTACATAAACCTAAATGTTTAGGTCTATATCACGCTCAAGTATGGCACCACCACTCCATTTGCCATTCATATGTCTAACTAACTGTCTCTCTATCTGCCTATCCATCAGTTGGCGTACTGTGTGGTACAGTTTCTCGAGAAGGACGCCACTCTAACTGAACACGTGATCAATGGGTTACTGAAATTCTGGCCAAAGACTTGTAGTCAGAAAGAAGTGATGTTTTTGGGAGAGATTGAGGAGATCCTCGATGTGATCGAACCCTCGCAGTTCGTCAGAGTTCAAGACTCGCTCTTCAGACAGATATCCAGATGTGTATCGAGTCCTCACTTTCAGGTATGTCTTGATCGCCAAACTCTGGACACTACTGAATGATCTAACCATGTATTGCTTGCATTGATGGACAGGTGGCTGAACGGGCTCTGTATTTCTGGAACAATGAATATATCCTGAGTTTAATCGAAGAGAACAGTGCAGTAATTATGCCGATTATGTTCCCCGCGCTCTACCGCATCTCCAAAGAGCACTGGAATCAGACTATCATTGCATTAGTTTATAATGTGTTGAAAACCTTTATGGAAGTCAACTCCAAACTCTTCGACGAGTTGACCGCCTCTTACAAAACCGAACGACAAAAGTATTTATCATTTTATTCACTATTTGTCTTAATTCTTGTCATTTATCGTGTCATTTATTTATACCGTTTTCTGTTGAAAGTTTTCTCAATTTATTTCTATTCCTTTTTATCGACACTTAATTTTCGAAAAACCTTGTTTTCATGTTTGTCGCAATTGTTTTTATGTAAATAACAATATCTTATCAGATCTTATGTCATACTATATCTCTATAACATACCGGTAGATAATACACTTTATTAAATAAATTAAATTTTTATACAGTAGTACTCTGTAAAGTAGATTTTTTCACTTACCCGTAATAATTTGTAAAACTGTTTTAAATTCATTATCATTATTGTGGAAAATTACAAATTTGTTATAACTAGCGGTTCTCATTATTTAGGTCTAGGATGCGATAGACTTACTATAATTATTGTGATAATTAATTATTTGCAGTCAACTCTTTAGTGATAGATTTTGGTTTTAATTACACTTTGTTTATGATGTTATGGTTAATGATATGCTGTACTGTGTTAGCAATTGTTGAATATGTAGTGAATGTATGGCTAATGTTTGGTTGTATTATGTGTTTGCAGAGAGAAGCGGAAAGAGAAGGAAAGGGACGAACTGTGGAAACGGTTATCACAATTAGAGCTGAACCATAAGGCAAAGATAGGGTCGTCATTATCTCCAACTCTAACCTCTACTTCATCGTCATTCAGTCCAATGGGAATGGGATCACAAATGAGTGGTAGTGCGCGCGGCGGCGGCATATCGTCGGGTGTGGCGCCGGTAGTGATGAGCCGAAGCCGAGACCGGGATCTACGCGACTGGAACTCAATGGATACGAACGCTTGATATTAATGAGTATTATTGAGATGTTCTGATAGTTTAGTGGAAAACAAATATAATTCACAACAAAAGTAGGAAATTATGATATTATGATTGAACTGATGTTTCGCTCATTTCATTCAAACTCTTCATAATTGAAATTAGAGACGATTTATGCATACATTTCAACATTTGTTTTCCCGTTTACAGAGATTTGAACTTAAAAGCCGATTGAGAGGTTAATAATAACACTAAAAACTCTTCATTTCTATTATCAAAATCAGAACTTTTTGTTTGTTTTATAATTTAATTTAATTTTAAATTAATCTTATTTTGAGCTTAAAAACAAAGCAGACCTTAGAGTACAGGTTAACTGTGGTGTACTCTCTTTCTATGAATGGTGTCATTGAATGTCATTGAAATTGTTATTTAATTAAATGTAATTATATTTAGTTAACGATTACTAAACATGCAAACAATTTGTTTGGTTATTAGTAATTGCGAATCGATTGACGCCAATGTTATGATTAAAAACATCTTTTGTTATTAAATTTAGAAATAAAATCCAAACCACAAAACATTTGATTATAAAAACATAACCAATAGTTTGTTAAACAAAACAAAAGACTAATTAAATTCAAAGAAACGGCAAATTTTACACTTCATTCCCATTTTTCGATACCTTTCAATATATGACGAAATGAGATAATTTTCATATTTGGCTCATTATTTAGTAATTTTATTGTTTATTTAAATATTAATTTCGGAAATTAAATTAATTAAATGTTTTTGAGAGCATCGCTAAACAATTGATAACATATTTTATTGATATTATTGTTTAATTGAATTCTTATTTGCGATGAAAAATAAATTTCATTACAATTGACACTAAACTCGATTCAATACTTTGTTAATACCAGTAATTCTCAATACAAATGATTTGACAAACAACTAAATGAAGTCATTTTGGATACCATTGAGAAATGCATATTGAGTGTATGAATGTGCACGGATATATTGTAATTATTATATAATTACATAATACACAATAGCACATTAAATTAACAAGCAATTAAATTAATTGTTGTTATAATTTATATCAATACAAAAGAAATCAAAGAACTATTGAATACAGAAAAATAACTAGAAGTTTGTAATAATTGATTAAATGTTTGAAACAAAACACAGACCACATCTGATCCAAAACCAAATAATAAGTAATATTTTTGCTTTTATTTAATTTTTATTCATTTAAATAGAAGTTATGATTCGTTATTAAAAATTAAAATTAATAAGTTTTACGATTTTTGCATTAAAATATCTCATTCATGTGATTACTATTGCGGCCATAATTTAGATTTCATTTTGAGTTCCCTTAAAGAAGTTATCATTTATTCGTCTATTTTTTGCAAATTTATTTCAACAGATAGATTGGAAAGTATTTTAAACACATTTCTTTGCGATCCCATGTTATATGACATACAAATCGAAAAGTTTTAATCGCTTTTTGTGTGTCTTATTGGAAGCAATTAAATATTAAGTGATGTTTTGGTGATTCAAAATATTTGGCAAATTTATACTACAAATACGAGATTTAGACATACGTTGACTGCAAGTGACAACAATACCCATAAAACAACACATTTTTGTTACTTCGAGTAAATATTTGTTAATATATTCGTGACATAAATCACATTTTGATTGTATATCAGATTTGATTGAATAAAAGCAAAACTTAGTTTTCTGATGACATTCAACAAAACCAATAAAATAAGCGATTATTTAATAAACATTAAGATTTATGAACCATATTATGACTCATGAATATTCTGTATATTCTTGAAGTGCGCCCCACAATGAACTTTAATTTAATTATTTAATTAAAGCAATCATTTATTGTTAAATTGCGATATTATTTGAATTGACGGTTAATTACGATATAAAATAGTATTAAATTCATTACATTTGATACCAAATAACTGAAGAATCATATCTTAACCATGACTGACATATTAGCTTCAATGACCAAAATGATAGACACCTCGGACACCAAAAATTTCAATGAATATTCAGCTAAACTCAAGGCCCTCTCCAAAGACGTGTCCAAAGAATTGGTTTTCGACATAACCTTCTGGTTTGCTATCAATGAAAACGAATTCATTCAACGTTTGGTATATTATGTCTACTATTCGAGTCTAATTGACTCCGGTTTTGGTATATGTTATTTCAATTGTCATTTGAAATGCTAATACATCTAATGATTAAATATGTTTTGAAGGCCTATTATTCATCTTATTTGGACTGTTGTCGCTGTTTTATGCTTTATATTATATGTCTATATTTGCATTGATTTGTGTCTTACAAGTATTGGTCGCACCTATGGCTCACTTGGCCTTTAAAAACGGGAAACGACTTGATTTCTTGCTTTTGGTTTTCGTAAACCTTTTATGGTTAGGATTTGCACTTATATTCGGTGCTTATTATATATTTAAGAGTATGTGTGGTGTTTGCCATCTTAACAGTAACACAAATATTTAACATTCATTTGATTTGTATGAATTCATAGCCAAAGATGCCAATTTCAATTCAAACGTTATGTTTCACTTTGCTTTTCTGGTCTACTTCATTATATCGGTTTCCATTCAAGTGGTTTGTTTGATACTTATCATCAAATTAGTCAATATTTTCATCCAACAGTTGAAAGTAAAAGATGCAAATTAAAAGATTACAAATTTTCAAGTTATTTAAGATCTAAATTATTCAATAATATATAATACAATATATATTGCAACTTTTTTGTTTTACTGTATTTGTATTTTCATAAGTTAGCAATTATTACTTTTTGATGTTTTATTTTTATAGTGATTTTCTTATTTGAAATATGTTTTTGGTATTGCTTTGCATAAAACATATTAAATCAATAAAGTTATGAAAGAGAGATCATAAAAGCAAATCTTATAAAAGGATGAAAATCTGATAAAACTATATTTGATTTGAAATTTCTTATGAATAAAGTTCCGCATCACAAACTTCTCTCAAAAATATTGATATTATTTGAAAGTTAGACAAAATTTCTTGTATCTCTATTTCAACGCTATATTTAATGGTTTAGAAACAAAACTAACTCTAAAGTAATAATACTTTTCAAACAAATGAACTGAAAATAATCTAAATCTCTATTGAAAAACATCCTTTAAAAGACAAATTGAAGTTTTTAACGAGAGATTCAATTCTAATTATCTGTAAACATATAAATGAGTCCATGTTTTCAACAGTTTGTTGTTTATTTCTCCAGACAACCTATTAGTTTTGAAAACTTATTGAATCGTTTAATGTACTTAAATACTGTGGTTTAATATCATTAAATTATGGCAGAAAACTAATTGTGTGGACAGTTATCAAATCCTTTATTGATGGGTAAATGTTTTTATTTTATCATTACTAGTGAGGCCTTATGAAAATTTTTTGTTTTCGATAAGATTTTAGATTTGACTGCATTTTCATTTAGAAACTCATTAATATTTGCTAAAATTCATTGCAATTAGTATTCTTTAGAAATAAATACAAACTATTAATGAATTAATAATTCTCGAGTCAACGCTTTATTATAATGTGTTATTGAGTTTATTAAATACAGACAATAGATGTTTGTGTTTAAAGAGTAAAGTTATTTAGCGTTCATTGAGAAGGAAAGACACGACTACTAAATGCTGAGAAACCAACTCAACATAAATGGGAAGAAAATCAAATTAAGATGCAGTCAATGCACTGCTTCCCTAATGGGGTAATGTTCTCAACAAACTCTAATTGATTGCTATATTTTTATTATGTGAACGCATCATATGATCAATTAAATGAACCGAATATTTTCATTTCAACCAAATATCAAATTATAAGTTATTCTTGAAATATGGATCATTTTTAGCATGGTTTTTAAAAATTATCCATATTTCAAGAATAACTTATAATTTGATATTTGGTTTTAAAACAATTTGGTTTTATATAGAATTTCATGATTCACATTTATATGAAAGACTATTTAAATAAGAATATATTTGTAATAAAAGTTAATATTTATATAGTTGAATTATCGGTGAATTTGATATTAAATTATTATATTCGTAATATGAATCAAATGATAGCAAGTAATGAATTTTGACATCTATTTGATGTCTTTTGTGTCCGACATAATCAATGAATT